TTCGTCTCTTGGTTGGTTCAGGTCATTGGCACGTAGAGCACCGAAGCGGCGCAGGCATTCCTTTATTTCGGAGGAGTCTTCAGACAGGGGAAGAGCTTCTGCAATGTCAAGTGCTGTTTTATGATCTCTGGTTAGTGCATTGGCATTCATGTCAGGCAACTGAAGCAGTTCATTCACTATCTGCAAGGAAGAGAATTACAAAATGAGCACTCATACAATCTACTCCAAACAACAAAGTGGAAGTCCTAGCATTTCATAAAGAAAGTTGTGTTCTTGCTTGAGCTTTGCACGTGAACATTAATTTTTTTAAAACTAGGTGAGAAATAATGCTTTGATACCGTGTTAGAGAACCAATCCAACCACAAATTCAAGTTTGTGGTTATAGGCCCAGGAATGTTTTTTTATACCTCGACGCGTTTTTTCCTTGTGGCCACATGTAAAGCCGTATTTCCGTTTTTATCAGGCAGCATAACAATGGCAGCATCAACGTCAAGCAGCAGCTTCACCACGTCACAGTTGACGCCTTTCGCGGCCATATGAAGTGCTGTCTGCCCTTTCTTATCTGTCCTACGCGCCAACTGTGGGTCTTTGCCGAGCAAGGCCTTGACAATGTCCAAGTGTCCATGTCTTGCAGCTAAATGCAATGCGTTCTTCCCATTCGACCTGAAAATCTCAACCAAGGTGCAATCCTTGGCAAGCAATTCGTTGACCACCGACGTGTGCCCTCTTGATGCTGCTGTTATGAGAGGAGTCGCGTTTGAGGGGCCCACGGTTTTACTCAGTTCGGGATCATGGTCCAATAACACTTGCACGACAGCTGCAATAAAAAGACAACTACTTTTAAAGATGCTTAGAGTAAGGCTGAGATTTGGATGAAGTGGAGGAATATGCTTATTTGCTGATATTGTGTCTCAAATGTCCAAATTTCCTAAAAATGGTCAATTAGCTAAAAATATATTTGCATTTGAGATAGATTCTTTTCCCACTAGTCTCTTGGAAGCATCCTTTCTAGTTCATAGTTAAGGATAAAGTCTTTGTACACACATTTTCCCCAGACCCTTTTTGCCTTTTTGGAAATATGGTCTGGGAGGGTGAGAATTCGAAGATCTTATCGCTCCTATCTAAGATCATATCTTCAGTGACATAGCAATCACTAAGTGTTTGGTAAAACAAAGTTTGCACTTGTTAAGAAAATGTGGTTGATAAGGCTCATAAGCAGAACAATCACGCTACCAAACGAGCACTAAATCCAAACAATCAGCTGGTGATTTCGTAATCTTCCATTGAACAACCCATAAGCAGAAAGGTAATTAACATGGAATAATACTCAAAAAAACCAAGCAAAGAAGAAGCTAAAAAGAATCATTACCATGGTGTCCCTGGCTTGCAGCAACATGGAGAGGATCAAGCAGGGATCTATTCTTCTTAGTGAGAGTTTCTTGATTAGAATACTTCAACAGCTCCTTCACCACCTCGAGATTCCCCCTCTCAGCTGCAGTGAACAATGCCGTCTCTCCCAACTCATTCACCTCATTCACTACGAACGATCTGATCTTTGCAACCTCATTGTCAAACTCAGCTCCACTCAGCGAGTCCATCGTTTGGGATTCGATGTCATCAAGTATTCGCTTCACCGCGGCAAGGTCGCCGTCTTGAGCTGCCAAGTGAAGCGAAGTGTCGTTGTACCTTCCCGTCACTTGCTTCACGTATTTCTTTTTCCCCGTTTGGTCTATTCTCTTCCCGGAGTTGGAAAACACGAGAGCTGGTGTTCTTGTTGAAGAAGGAGATGGGGCCGGCGAGGGGTCAGCCAAAGGATGATGGTTCTGGCTGCTGGCTCTTGGACTGAACAAATGTTTCTCCAAGTCTATCCCACCTTCTGAATATACATCAATTCACACTTAATGACTAATTAAACAAGACAAAACAAAAATTGATGATAATGATAATATGAGACTAGTTATCTTCGAATGAATAATTTCTTGCACCCCCATCCTCAATCGAAATTCGCAATTATACACATAAATCCACATTAAGAACTAGCTCCATCAAAAGCTCAATTGTGTGTGGTTGGACACTTAGAGTCCCAACAAAGTCTGAGAACCAATTCAACCAAAAGATAAAATTTGGGGACAGAGGATTGGTGGGACACGATTTGGGGACAGAGGATCCCGGCCCATTTTTGCTCGATTTCTCTAAGCTATCATCAATTTCTTAAAACTGGATAGCGGTGAGGTTTGAACTCATTCAGCAAGGTTATGATACCATTACAATGAATCAAAACAACCAAAACTCAAACACTATACTTTACCAAACTAAGAAAATTAATCATAACTCAGACGCCATACAATGGATGGACTTCATCCTCTCATCCTAAAAGATTCATCTCTGCTTTTAATTCTATAAAATCCAAAAAAAAATTGGATTCCAAAAACCTAAAATCATAAGAAAACCCGACCCGAACTTCAACAATAACAACAACAATAACGATGGGTACCTTCAAGAGGTGAAGCCATGGCGGAGCTGACAGAAGGAACAGAGAGAGGAGAAGACGGCGGAGCTGAATTTTGACTGAGGGAAATGAGAGCTTTGATTAATTTGAGCTTTTATTGACTATAAACGCCTCAGAACGTGCGACCAGGACTGATATTCAAATGAGTATATATACACTCGTGTATATATACATATACTCCATATATATATATATATATATATATATATATATATATCCAGATCATATGTTTTTATTTCCCAATCTAGGACCTTTGGTCATTAGTAGTCATTATTCAACTAAATGTTCATGATTACAGGACGTTATTCTTTCCACTAGATCATTATTAAGTCCTATTTAGAGAATAAAAAAGTTTAAGTCCTAGATTAGAAAAATTATTATGTTTTAGTTCTATTTAGTACAAATTTCAGTATATATATTCTCAATACACAGTATATGAAGAAAAGAAAAGAAGGGGACCAAAACCAGACAAAAAGATCGAGGAAGGTGCCATGGAAGGTAGAGATTGGATAAATACTCACTCCTGTTTTTCAAAGATATTCTCCAGGAGTGTGACAAAAAGTTTGAATTCATAAAGAAAATTTTAGTGAGCACAATAATCCGATTCTTTAGTTCCATTACAATTTTACCTCATTTCTATATTAATAATCTATTAAAGCTTAAATAATACTCCATTCCTCCGTCCACTTAAGATCTTCTCATTGCGCAATCTTCTCATTGCGCGTTACGAGGCTTGACCGACCTTATTTTTAATTCAATTTATATATAAAATTTATGTAGTAATAAATTACATGAAAAGTTCTACAAAACTAGAGGTGACAACACTATATTATTTTATGAAATGAGTAGTAAAAATAAACAAACAAAATGAATTAAGTTTGACCCTATAAATAGTGTCTATGAAGATCTATGGTGGACAAGGGGAGTACAATGGAAAATTGATGAATCTAGATGTAAAGTATCTCTACGTTCATTCATTTTTTAATGTATTCAGAAAGTCTTGATAGACGGTTATTATTGAATAAAGAAATATATTGTGTTCCCTCCATCTAGATTTAATCTTTTCATTTGACTGTTCTTGATTGAAGTTTGTAAAGTTTGATCTCTCTATGTGTGGAAAAAATACATTGTGTTTCCATATAAATATAATTCGTATTATTAATTACGGAGTATATAAAAAATTATTGTCAATACCTAATGCTATTTAAAAAAAAATCCAGTGGTGTCGGTTGACACCACTGGACCACCCTAAATCCGCCCCTGGTGAGAATGGTGCATGTTTATGCCGTCATGATTCATTTTTTACATTGTGATAGCACATTTTTGGTACTCGGAGTAAAGTTCAACTTATTTACCATAATGTCATCACGTTTTTTCAATTTTTTTCAATTCTTTTTTTTTTGAATTTTTCAAGCCCTTAGATCTTACATCTAATACATGAGATGCATTCTTATTTTTTTTTCATTAGATTGCATTCAAATTAGGTTCGGGTTTGGGTTTCAGATTTTAAGCCCGTTCTACTCATGGAGTGCCAGACTACAATAACCGCGAAGGGGAGTGTGCCGTAGTATTTGGCCCAGACTAGCACGACCCGAAATCTCAAATGGGGACAACTTAATGTTAATGACCCCAAACCTCACGCCAAATCATTTGGTTTTGTATTATTTTCAATATCACATTCTTTCACAATAATACTTTCCAAATTAAAACAAATATGATCTCATATAGATTTGAAATTTAATCATGGTCCCAATGGTGGAAATGGTCATCCCAAATTATTGTGATAAGAAAAACACGGAGTAGTTAATATGTCGTCGAATGAAAATATAATTGAGAAATTTACCTAAATAGGACTAAAACATAACGACTTACCCAATATAGGACCATAATTTTTTATTTCCCAATGTAGGACTTTTGGTCATTAACAAGTAGTCATTATTCAAGTAAATGTCTAGCATTACTGGACATTATTCCTCACACGAGGTCATTATTAAGTCTTATTTAGGGAATAAAAAAGCTTAAGTCCTACATTAGGAAAGTCATTATGTTTTAGTCCTATTTAGTGCAAATTTCACAGTATAATTACGTTATGAATGAGTTAGAACAATATAATAATAATACAATATTATGTTGGCCATGTAGATATGAATTTCCGACTGCATATATGAGATTTAAATATTTCCATCAGAATTTGTTACCGAAAGCCAATGTATTAGGATTTAGTGTTAATGCACTGCCTTTAGAAATGAACTTCTTGATTAATACTTTGACAAATTAAATATGGTGAACTAAAATCTAGTTACAATATTAGAATTTAGGACATAATAGGAAATTTTAGATTAGCTGGTCCATAAAATATTTGGATTGAGACACAGTATTAACAAATTAAACACAATTAATTTTCTAGTTTTTAAATCCATTGTTTTCTAAATGGAAATGGACTCGAATTTAAAAATAAATAGAACAAAAAAAGATACATGAAAAGAAAATGATCAAGACAACACCTTTATTGTACACTTGGACGGTTACAACTTACAAGTATATAAATCCCATTATTGGGATCCAATTACATAACAATGGTAATTAATTAACACCAAATAAATTAAATTAAAAAAAAGTACATCTTGTGTAGCAATTTCTTAATAACCCCATATCCCTAAATTAAAGTGTACATCAACCTTAGCTTGTGTTCGATCACCAATCTTAATTATTGGTCAACATATAATCAAGCATATATATGCATGCAATGCATGAACTCCTTGGCTTCATATATGATCATATATACGCCCTTCGTCCCTGAGTATATTTGTCCATTTTTTATTTTTTCGATCAAAATTGATAAACTTTGACTTTAAATTAAATAAAAATGATTTTAAATTTTGATACAAAAAGAGATTTATTAGATTTATTATATAAAATATTATTGTATATACTTAATATATAACATATATTTTATTTAATTATAAATCAAAAGTTAAAAACAGTTGACTGAAAAAAGTCAAAAATGGACAAATAATCTGAGACGGTGGTAGTAATATATATATATCAAGAATAATAACTATATTTAAAAAACAATTCAATAACAAATCATTTTTTTTCTTCCAAAAAAAAAAGAAAAAAAAAAGAACTATGCAATTGATCGAACAAAACTGAGACAAGGATCGTTAACCCAATCATACTTCTCAACGAAAGGGTTGACCAATATTTTGGGAGGGTAAGAATGGATGCAATCTTCCCAAACATTGGGATCCCCCAAGTCCTTCATCACCTCCCAAACACAATTGTTGCATTTGAAGCCTGCCCCAAGGCTCACCATTAATATTCTGTCACCTTTTTTCAACCTCTTCTTGGCCTCCATGTACCCGAGAACGTACCACAGCCCGCCCGCCGACGTGTTGCCCCACCGGTGCAACGACATCCGCGTCGGCTCCAAGTCGTACTCGCTCAGCCCCAGGCTCGCTCCCACCCCGTCTATCACCGCCCTCCCGCCCGGGTGCAGGCAGAAATGCTCGATCCCGGTTTTCATGTTGACCACACCTGTCATTGCGCGCATGTTACTAAAGTATTGAGAATTAAAAATGTTAAAGATAAACACTGTCGTCGTTAGAAAGAATTTTAATTTTTTGAATGCCAAAATTGAACGACGAAATTGTTACCGAACGGGCACAGATTATCGTACATGCACGGGCTCACCACGACCGGTGTGTGGGCCCATCCATGTGAAGAACTAAATTCACAAAATCATCATAAAAATATAATATGGAGTAATATAATACCCCTTCATTAAAAATAGTTACACCTATATTTTTTGCGCATTACACAAAATACTTGAATCCCATTTAAAATAGTGAAATTTGCACCGAATCACTAGAACATAAGTCATTTTTCAATGTACGACTTAAACTTTTTTATTCCCTAAATAGAACTTAATAATGACTAGTGAGAAGAATAATGTCCAAGTGATTCTGGACATTTAGTTGAATAATGACTAATAGATAATGATCAATGGTTCTACATTGGGAAATAAAAACATATGATCCTATATTGAGAAAGTCATTATGTTTTAGTCCTATTTACGTAAATTACCCGCTAGACAAGGATTGAAGTGTTTTTTGAGATACACAAAAAATAAAAGTGAAACTAGTTTCTGGAATGGAGGGACTAATAAATAAAAAAGTTAAATGAGTAAAAATCCTAGCTTCAATAATGGTGGAAGATATATATACCTCTTCCGAAAAAGGCGGGGAGGCGGAACTTGCGGCGCTCGAGGGCGGAGACGAGGAGGAATCGAAGGGTCTCCCAGTAGGGTAGCATCTTGGGGACGAGCACCTTAAAGTTTGCGACGAGGGCCTTGGTGGCGACCTTTGGGAGACGCTTGTTGAGGTTGAAGCCGTTGAGGCCCTGAGGGTCCTCCATCTGCATGCAACATTCGTACGCCTCGTCGGACGCGGCAATGTGGGTCCGAACCATGTGCTTGAGCTTCAAGATGGCTCTGTGCCTCAGAGCCGCCTTGTTCGTGAACAGCATCGAGCAACCCCCCGACCGGAACAGGCAGTTCGATAGCATCATCGACCTCTCCTTCCCGCTGTACCTGAACATATGCAATCCTAGGTTAGAAATATATCGTCCAAATTTGATTAGATGAGAGAGAAATTGTGCGCTAGTTGGATCTTGTTGGGAAACAATCCGATCCCACATACACCAATATGTTCAACTAAATCCATTAGTATAAAGATTTTTGGGAGGTGCTCAATAACCAATTCGTAAAGAGTTATTAGAGCTTGTTTTAGATTTGATTTGATTTTATTAACTTCTGATCTGATCGATTTTGATCTGATCGTAATTATATCTAAAATAATCTTTTATCTGATTTAATTTTAATAATAATTATTGTCTGTATGTCTATAAGAAGCTTAGTATGCAAGTGATGATGTCAAATTTTTAGGTCTCCTAGCATCACTCTTATATGTTTTGTTATCCATTTTTTCTTCATTAAAATGATGATGATTTAGTGCATTAGAGTGCAGATTTAACAAATTTGGACAAAATACATGAATTTAGCATTAAAGTACCACCTACAAAGTGGCCACTTTATTTAAGAGTTAAGATCATGTTGGGCACTAGGGCACACCGAGTATTAATAGTTGAAATTGGATTTGATGGATTTTACCTGAATAGAAACATAAAACTTAAACTCATATTTTAAGAATAAATGCTACTCCGTATTTTTTACACCAATTTGAGTTGATTTTTAACTAACAATACTTTTTTTGTAGTGCAACTAAAATTACTTGAAACGTCTGTGAAGTTTTTTCTTAAAATAATTACCCAGTGTCCCTTCGTTCCAATTATCATAGAATTAAAAAATAAAAATTACGTATTCAAACTATGTCAAACTATTAATTATCAAATAATTAATAAAAACATACAAAAAAACAAAAGTTATCAATAATTAGAGTAAAAAGTTGTTATTAATTGTGGGTGGGGGAGTATTTATACGATCTAGAATTTCTCTAAAATATATCTACAACATCATATTTGAATTGGGATGGAGAAAGTAAAAATATAAACTTTTCATCCATATAACTCAACTTGTAGGTTTATAAAACACTTTTTTTAGATCTCAATAAAATTCATCTTTCCATATCAACGTTACGTTCTAAAATAAAATTTTTTTGGGTAAAAAGTGTACTTAAAATTTATCCGTTGATATCAATTTTAACCAAAAAAAATTAACCCATATTTTTTAAAAAAAAATCTATAAAAATAACTTGTATGGGGACAGAGTTAATAAGTTTAGGGTCATGTCGTAGTGTGATGCACAGAAAGGCTGGCAAAAAGTACAATTCTTTCAAAAATCTACCGTTCAATTTATCAAGAATTTATATCTAAAGAGCTCAGTTGGTGGAGTAAAATTAACTTCCCTATACTGAAATCACCTAGTAAAGTCAAAGGAAAATAAATACTCCCATTTTCCATTTAAAAAAATTCTTGTTCACGAATGTAAAGCACTTCATTTTTTTTTGAAATATTTAATTTTTTTCATCTATTATGGAACAGAAAAAATAGTACTCCATCCTTTCCAACTTAAATCGCTCGTTTCTCTTTACGAAATTTGACTGAAGTTATTTTCAATTTAATTTATTTAGAAATTGAAGTGAAATTAACAAATAAATATATAGCTTCAAAAAGGAATTATATTTTTAAAAACTAAACCCAGAGTTCTACTAATCAAGAGAAAACATAATTATTGCAATATTTTTCAAATGAATAACAATTAAAAAAATGTTTAAAGCTTGATGACATAAATAGTAAAGAGACAATAGGACATGGAGTATATTATTCCATGATAGTTTTTTATTACTTCTAATTAGCTTACCCAAAAAGTTCTTACCCTAAATATTTGATTCCTACTTTTTGAACATATTCCAAATATGACCCTAGAAAACAAACAAACAAAGAGTGGTAAAATGTGCACGTACCAATTGGCCCCGAAAGACTCGGAGCTGACCACGACGGCGAGAGAGTTCTTATACACCTTGAAGAGGTGGCGGACGAGGTCAACGGCGACCACGCTCGCGCTGCACCCCATCCCGGAGAGGTTGAACGTCTTCACGTCCTCCCTCATCTTGTACCGCCTCACCACCCGCGCCGCCAGCGACGGGGCGGCCGCCAGCAGCGACACGTTCACCACCACCACGTCGACCTCCCGGGGCGACACCCCGGAGCTCCGGAAGAGGCGGTCGAGGGTCTGGAACATGATGTCGTCCAGCTCCTCCACGGAGTCCGCCAGCGCCGGGGAGGCCTCCCGCCCTTCTAGAACGTTCCTGGGGACGTAGGTCTTCTCCCCGATCCCGGAGTTGACCATGGTCTGCAGCAGGAACCGGAACTCCTCCACCCCCAGGTTCCGGTTCCTGTACACGATCATGGCCGACTTGTCGGTGGTCAACTGCCGGTCAACGTCCGTTGGCTTGTAGCACTCGTAGTTTAGCATGTAACAACATTGGTCTCTCCGGCGGAGGTAAGATCTAGTGATCAAGAGAGTGATGAGGAAGAGGGGGAGGGCTGATAATATTATTGCCACTAGGATATCCATTTTTTTCGAAAATGGACGGCTGAGATCTACTTGATCCTAGTTATATTTATATTTATAGTATGTAGATATGTACCTATTTATAAACTAATGTTGCATTGGAAGCAAAAATATATAGTGGATATATGCTTGTGTTAGTTCCAGTTGCCAGATAGGTAGTAGTTGGTCAAATTTAATATGGTTTGGGTCCAAAAACTTTATTATGAATAAGTTGTTTGTTTTTGTGTGTTTTGATCTTATAAATTAATTAAAGTTATAGCTGTTTCAGTGTACCTATATGTGACAGCACATTCTCATTGTTACAACTTCTTCGATCTGGCCAATTGGCTCTCTTCTTAAATAAATTTCTAAATTTGATTTACCATGATTGATTTAAATTATTTTTTAATTAGATTATTTAAATACTAAACACTAGTGAAGAAATGAAAATTATATATTTAAAAATTATGCTTCGTATTAAAATTTTGAAAAATAAGAAGTGGAATGATCATTATATTGTAGGATATATATATGATTAAAATAATTAAGTAAAGAATCAAGATGTAATTAGATCCTATGAACAGTGGAAATAAAGTTTATCTATGGCGAAATGAATTATTAAAAAGTGCATATTTTTTTAAAATAAAAACAAAATATTATGAATAATTGCTGTTAAAAAGTGCATTTTTATAAAATAAAAACAAAAACCCTAATGTCACCTCATTTTTTCCCTTACGAGGTTCGAAGATAGTTTTATCCCCATAAAATGTAAATATTTTTATTTATGAATTCCTAGGGGTTAATTCAGGACCGACCCTGAAATTTGGAAGGACTTAGCTTGCTCAAAATTACATTAAATTAATATTTTTCCTCAATAAATTATTAAAACAAAAAAAATGCGTACACAAAATCATGCGGTATTTCAAAATGTAATAATATACTTGGGGTGTTTTAATGTTTTCTTGTTACTAAAAAAAATCAAAATATGGAGTACATTAAAAGTTCACAACATTTTGGAATTAATTAAGGGATTTAAGGCTTTGTTTTCATCAAAACTTTTAAGTTTCCTTCGGTATACTGATTCCTCTATCTTTGTATTATTATTTTGAGAAAAAGACTAAAGTATGAGTAAAACATTGAAAATATATTAAAATAGAAATTTCAGGTTTTTATATTACCAATTATTACCATGTACATTACATAAAATGTACACGTACATTGCTACATTACCACAGTGTGAACTCTTATTTAAAGAATAAAAATATGAAACTCTTATTTTGATATTTTTTCTATGTTTTAGTTGGGTAATTCTTTATTATTTTCTATGTTTTTGTCGGATTTTCGAAATAATTATCATAGAAGTAAAAAATGTCGTTGGATTAGTTTTGTGAATACTAAATATATCAGCCCCCGGCCCAACTGTTTTGGATTTATGAGATGACGATGATAGGCAAGCAAAGGAGGACGGACGTTTATTATACTCCGTGATTGCTAACTTTGGTGGCGTATTGAATGTATATTAGTTGGATAATTAATGTTTTTAATCTGTTTTGGTGAAATAATGAAATTGCACTCTTTAAGAATTTGATCAATCTGTTTTTTTTTTCAAAACATATTTTTGTCTAATTAAGATAAATTCACCTTGGTTCAATTAAAACAAGATCAATTTAGTTAAGATCCCAGTTTTCAACTAAAATTATACTCCATCCGTCCCATAAAAAAATTATTATTTTGATCATAAATTGGTCAAACTGTTGCACACTTTGACCTTAAATTAAATATAATCTAAATAAAGAAATGCTAAAAAAATTTGAGATATCTAAACTAGATCCTAAGATGAATCCAATTATATAAATTTTATTTCATAATTAAATATACATTTCTCACAATTTGTAGTCAAAGCGTGTAAATATTTGACTAAATACTATTCAAAATGGGAACTTTTTTGTGGGACGGAGGGAGTAATTAACTTTAAACATATTTCACACAATTGTCGTTCAATCCAGATTCGAAAATTTCAGTTGAATAATACTTCCTCCGTCCCGCTATATTTGTCCACTTTTTGACTTTTGGAACTGTTCATCTAAGCACTTTGACTCATCAAATTCTCTCAATATGTAAGACTAAATATAGTCATGTGTGATCTTGTTTAATTTATCTTAACATATAGATTATTAATATATAATTTCTATAATTTTTTAATATACAAGTTACAAGATAAAATGAATTAAAGAAGTGCATTGGATGGTGTGCAAAAATGAAAGTGGACAAATACTCTGGAACGGAGGTAGTAACACTCAAAGAAACAATGAAGAGGGGGAAATATATCAAAATTGGAGTAAAGCAGTAAGAAAATATCAAAATAAAGTTTTCATGTTTTTATATACAAAGTAGCAATTACAATGTCAATAATGTCAACATATATATAATACCAAAATGTATTATGAAATACCAATATACACTATCACAATGCTATAATGCAAACTCTTATATCGAGAAGAAAAATATTGAGCTCTTACTTTGGAGGTAAGAGTTATGTTTTACTCTTATTTGAGGTGATTTCTTATAAAGAATACAATAATGAATGTGTGTGCATGCAGTGGAGGAACCAAGATCCAAGAGTAGTGGGTGCAAGATAGAGAAAGATATTCGTGTCTAGCAATTACCGTAGACAAGGGACATTTAAATAAAATTAATTCTCACACGCATTTTGTCAAACACATAGTGTACAATAACATATATTGATAGAAATAAATAAATAAATAAATAAATAAATAAATAAAAAGCATATTTGGCATCGCAAATGTCACATGTAGAGAGTTTGTTAGAGAGGATCTACAGGAGAAGTCCATCACACTGAAATATTCATCATCATCTTCTTCTTTTCTTTCTCTTCTTATTTGAAATGGAGCAATATATATATAATGGTATATAGTACGAGCATTAAAAAATCAAGTTGGGAGTGACTACAATTGCAATCATTTGCTCCCACTTGGCTCCGCCCCTTTGTGTATATACACACACAACAACAACGTATAAGACAATCAGATTCTTCGTACTAATCACTAGTTCAACATGTACAATTACTTGAAATATTAGAGTATCATATATAATCATTACACAAACATAATTATAATTATTTTATATTATATATACACCTCAAGAGTCATTAATTACATACTCCGTAATTGTTTTAAATGTCATATAGATATTGGAAATTAAATGCATGACACAACTTTTTAAATGCGTGATTGTACATAATCTCTTGTTTCTAGCTTTTAAGTCCTTAATTTTTTGTCAGATCACTTACGCCTTGTAATGAAATTTTTATGGAGGATTAACGAGAAAGTAATATAATGGTTAGTTATGGAGTATTGATTTAAGAAAATACCTTATTAAAATGGAGCGTTTTGAAAATTTATTTTTAAAAATACAATAGTGTTAGTTCCATGGGTTGCTCCCCTTATACCTTGTGTATGCTTTGTGTAGTTGAGTTGTAAAACTACTATTGGTATATATTATATTTTGACAAAACAAAAAGTGTTTAGATGTAGCTTAGCATCTAGCCACTTTGCATATAGAACTGTAGCATCATGCCCGTCATCTCAAGCTGCAAAAAGTCCAAGTAAGTTTTTGTGGATTGCTCTTTGCTGTTTTAAGACAAAAGAGTTCAAGAGTGTATGCTACTACATACTACTTCCTAACGAGCTCAAGACTCCTCTTCATCATTCTAGAGTCCCGAATTGCAAGAGCTTTGTGAAGACTGGCCGGCGGCGTAAAACTTGAGGATGAAGCATGGAGTGGATGATAGACTCCTACTCGAACTCTACTAGGGTTATTCTCAGTTGTGGGTGTGAAATAGAAACAAAAAATCAAGAGAGACAGATTCACATATGAGAGTATATTTGATATGATGATTACGAAGATCACGTCGCTCTAGTTATCTATCAGCGTGAGATCATAATAAATCCTAAAGCTACTGCAAATCGATATATATATGAACGTCAGTTAATTGTGGAGTCTAGAAGTTGATTCTTGATATTCTGGAACGACTAGCCTGAAAACATGTCCATTTTAGAAGATCTTGAAGAAGGCGTGCAGGCAAGAACTTGGACACAAACAGAGTTTGTCGTCAAATCACGTGTAAGAAGATTAAGTACGTCAATTCATAGATAGAGTCTATTGATGTTAAAGGTGTAGTCTTTACAGTGATTTAGGTGAAAGGCTGTTACATGGACGTGGTCTCGCAGGCATAGGAGATATTGCTCCGAAATTGTAAATATTTTGTGTGCCATTTAATGCTTTTCCTTTTTTAGTTGTAGTTTTCACTAATGACACAGAAGATGTGTCGTTCTTCGTATTAACTTCTGTTGTAACAGCTTCGTGTGACACACCTTGCAGTTTTTTCGTTGTTTGCTTTGTGTGTTTTACAGTTCAGTTTGGATGTACTATTACCCGTTCGATATTTACAATAATGCATGCATGCATGTATATATCCTCTTAAAGCATAATCGTATATGTATATTTTTACAATGTATATTATTCAACGTCATGTCGAATCCGATTTGTTTTGGATGTTGTCTTTTTTAGGTATGCTTTCTATTGACCAAGTAATATGGCCTTGTTCAATTGTATAGATTAATTAATGCTTCATCTTTTAAATATACGCAAGTTATGTTTGCATTTCACTTATTCTTTAATGTACTCCCTCCGTCCAGAAATATTCTTCCCATTTTCCTTTTTGGTCCGTCTGAAAATATTCTTCCCATTTCCTTTTTTAGTATATTTTTTAAGGCTAAATATCAATAATACCCTTCTATTATATCATAAATCTACTTTTTTAGTACTTTTTTAATAATAAAAGGAGATTTAAAAGTTTATAGTATGTGCATTTTTGAAAATTTTGCATTTTTTTTACTATTCCTTAATAAGCGTGCCAAGTCAACACGGGAAGAACATTTCCGGACGGAGGGAGTATATAACAGTAGTTTTTTTTATGTTTTACTCCCTCCGTCCCCCATAGATCTTTCCAATAGCCCTTTTTTCTTTGTCCACAATATATCTTCTCATTTCATT